CACACACACACACACACACACACACACACACACACAGAGGCAGGGGTGGGATTCAAATTTCTTAACAACTGGTTCTGTGGGCATGGCCTAATTTGGGATGTAGCTTGGTGGTCATGTGACTGGCTGGGGCATGGCTTGTATGTAAATATTATAAATATTTATATGAATATTGGATTTTTTATATAAAAAAGAGCAACCTTTACCCAAAATCAGGTAAAGCAGGCAGGCTGATTGACTTGCTCACAGAATCACGGATTCATTCAGAGATCTGTGAGATCGGCTGCCTGAACCTGTCAAATAAAATTTGCCTGCAAGCAAACCCATAAAATTTGCTAGCAAGAAAACTCACAAAATTAACTCACAACACACCATGCATGTAAATATTGAATTTTTTATTAAAAAAGAGCAACTTTTACCCAAAATCAGGCAAAGCAGGCAAGCAGATTGAATTGCTCACAGAATCACATATTCACTTAGAGATCTGTGTTGCTGCCATTGGCTAGCTGAGTCTGCACTGCTTCAGTCCTAAGAAAGGTTTTCGGCTCTTCTAAGCAGAGCCAAAGATCTAAAGATTAGCTAGAAAGCAAGAAATCCAATTTCCTGCTTTCTAGCTAATCTAAATATCCTGGCACAACCTGGATTAATTGCTTTGGGGGATGATCTGGGGGTGACATTTCTCTGCGGACCACCAAAATTTTCTTGCAGTCCACCAGTGGGTCGCGGACCACAAGTTGGAGACTGCTGTTCTAGAAGACTTGGGGAACTATCTAGAACACGGGTGTCAAACTCGCAGCATCACATTGCCATCACATGACATATTGTGATGTTTTTCCCCTTTGTGGAACTGGGTTGTGTGTAGCCTGTGAATGATGCATTCAGCCAGTTTGACACCCCTGATCTAAAAGAAACTGGGTGATATGGAAGTGAGGTGCAAGCATAATTGTCTCTAATCATTCTTTCTAGTTTGTATGCATAACAGTATTTATTTGTGACGAACAGATTCAAAAATGTCATTCATTCCGTGTTTTTAGTATATCATACAAAGGATAAAACAGTAGTTAATCTGACATATACAATGCCTTTTTTATATCAAAGAACATCAGGGCAGTATACAGTTAAGAGATGTATCTATAAGTTTGCCTTTACGGTGAATAGGGTAGATAGAACAACAAGGACAATCCTGATATTTATTTATATATGTATGCCAACTCATGGCAGCTAACATACCTAATATTCCTGCTTCCCATTTTTTCACAATAAGCCTTGGGAGCGGGGAGTTGGGCTGAGAGAGAGAGATTGGCCCAAAGTCACCCAGTCAGCTGGTTTCTAGGCCAGCATTTTAACCACTATAATAAACTGGCCTTCTTATAATTAACTATATATATAAAAGTGAAATACCACTCACGCATCATCACAAAATCTTCAGAACAGTAAAGCCTACAAACTTGAAATTTGGCACGTATATTCCTCTTGGCTTCTAGGTGCTCACTAAGAAAGGGTTTTTCTGGAAATGACCACCAGAGCATTAGTATTTTGTATACTATTATTAACACACTCTGATGCTAAGGTCTTCTACTCCCCCTCCCCACCTGAAAAGAAATCTGTTCCAAATACAAAATACAAGCACAGGAGAGGAGCTTCAGTTTTAGTTTCACAGCAGCAACCAGCTTTAGTACAGAACAGTTGAACTAAGCCACGCCCAGGCTCCTTGTTGTCTCCTTGCTCACACAGCAAATACTTTTTCAGTTTCCAAACACCCCTCAACTCTCTCACACACTGACAGGACGCTAGCCAGATGAATACGATGGATGCTGGTAGGCAGAGGCAGAATTTTTCCCCCCCTTATTTTCCTCCCCAAAAACTAAGCCTGACCACATAGTTTCATAGCAAAGCACAGGTATTAACTAGTTTCCTATATAGGTGATCCTCAGTTAACGATCACTTGTTCTGCGACTGTTCAAACAATAGCACTGAACAAGTGATACTTATGATGGTTTTTGAAGTTCTGGTAGGTGCAGTACCCATGCAGTCACCTGATTGTGATTTGCAGCCTTCCCTTCTGGCTTCCTACAAGCAGAGTTGGTGGGGAAGCTGACAGGAAATCAGAAGTTGTAGTCACATGAAGTCCTTGTTAAATGACCCAGAGTGATTAACTTAACAATGGTAAGCTAGGATAGCTTTGCTAAGCAACATGTTCATGTGATATCACACTTTACAACTGCTTTGCTTAGCGACAGAGACTCTTATCCCAGTTATTTTTGTTAAGTGTGGGCTACTGGTAATTGTTCTGTGTTTCTTGTCATAGATAAACAGATCCATTTTTATGTACATGTACTGATATAGACATGTAGACAAAATTCTGCAGGTGGGAAAGGCTTATGAGGGTTATGGTTGGGTCTCCATATACTTGAAGAGAAAAATGGATGTCGGCAACAGATTCATAGTGCATCGGTATGGTTAGGAGAGTGCTGACTAATTGAGCCTCCCCTATTTACATTTTGTGGTAAAATACATGGCAAAATCCCATAGTGGGGGAAACCCACTTAGGGTTAGGTCGGCATGGAGTCAGAGAGGAAATTGGACATAGGTGTATATAACTATTTAGAATGATTGTTCGTGGATCTTTTAATTATCAAGTAGTCTGGTTAGACTCTCAATATGGATTACAAATCCTACTTTAAGATAAAAACTGCTTTTATTTTCCTTCTGTTCCATTATGCTCAGTTCTTGGAGACTGCCCGGACAAGTCCCTGCACTTTTCTTGGCAAAGTTTTCCATAAGTGATTTGAAATTGCCTCCTTCCTAGGGCTGAGAGAAAGTGACTGGCCCAGGGTCACCCAGCTGGCTTCATGTCCCAGGTGGGGCTAGAGTACATGGTCTCCTGGCTTCTAGTCTAGCCTGATGCCTTAACCGCTACACCAAACCTGTCCTCAAATATATCTTAACTTTATATTAAAGACTTATACTAAAAGGTGTTCTGCAAAATATAGTTTTTTGTGCTGTATATCCTATTTATTCATTTATGTATTAGTTATGTATTCCTGTTAGACTAACAATTGAAAAAAAAAAAAAAGAAGGCAGTTGTAAACTTCTTCCTAACTGTTGGTTACATGGACTTTGAATCAAACTCAGCTCAAGAATTAAAGTGGGAAAGGAGTAACTTAAAGTATCGTGCACTTTGTAAAAAGCAAAAAAATAAAAATAAAGAAATAACAGGTCAAAAGAGCAGCTATAAAAGAATATAAATATAAGAGATCTAAACATAAATCCAAGCACATAAAACCCAGAACTAAATAAAAATAAATTCTGTGATGTAACATTAAAGCCAAATGCTTTTTTAAAGCCTGCTTTTACCATCCAAGATACTAGAAGACGTAGATTAAGAGGAAGATTACCTTTCTTGGGAAGGAGGATCTTAGGGTTTTCCCAGAATAGCTTATGAACTTCAGCAGATGCTGTAGGAAGCAATTTTTTTGCTCAGAAGGCATATGATGCATTCCCCGTTGTATGGTCTGCTTGAAAAATTGTCTATAAAAGCAAAGATGACTCTTTTTTTAGAATCTGAAAATGACTAGGAAGTTATAAAGACTTGGTTCATTAATGATCTTCTCATTTTTAGTGTTTTCGTATCTTAACAATTGGAAAACAATAACTCCATAATTGCTCTATAGTATAGATATCCTTGAGCTTCCATTTCTGGATGTATTGCTCAGTATGAAAGTACTAAATTATTACCTATACTTAATTCTTGCAATGTTCCCATAACAAAATAATAATATATCTGGACAGAATAATATATCTGGACAGAATACTGTGTCTTAATAATTGTAATTTCCAGTCTTGTACTCTATTGTGTACGTAAAACACAGTAGACCCCTGATTTGAATAAATAGTCCCAGAACATGGGAAAAATAAAAATCACCACATATACTCTCTTTTCTTAATTGCCTATGCAATGTTTTGTAGTAGTTTAGTATTGATCAAGTTTAAAATTCAGTGAAATATTAGTCTCACGTGTTTCTATGCTGCTTTTGTATAAGAAAAATGTATACAAAGGCAACATAGTCAAGTTAACACATAAGTTAGAGGTTTGATTGTTGATGTGCATCTTCAAAGTGACTTCAGATTGCCTGTCTGTTATTCCCCAATACAAGTAACAATCAGTTAGCTTCCACTGAATGAAAGCTTATCGTTACCTTGCAGTATTACTGATAGGTGTCACTGTCAGGACTTTGATGCATAGGATTTTTAATAGAATGAGAAAATAAAGGAAAACAGGGGTGCAAATGAGGCCTCTAGCAGTGAAGTGAATCTATATTATCTCTACTTAGTGCTTTAATATGGCCAAACTTTTATCATTTGAAAAATTCTAGATCTATATGTAATACAAAAAGATTTGACTAGGATACTTCCTTCTACTATTTTTAAGAAGTATCTGCCAAAACCAAAATAAAACAGATAGTAAATGTGATCTAAAGACACTTCGGCTTAACAAAAGACACCCATTTCACAGATGATTTAACTTTGATTAACCTACTCTGCAACAACAGACCACGCAGATAACTGGAACTTCATTCTCTTTGAGTCATTGCAAGGCGCTATCTAATTTACAGCCCGCTTTTCCCATCTCAACAAAATACAGCACAATTTTGATGTTAACACTAAGTAAAAATTCACTGGTTCATTTACCATTCATTGAGAAAAGATTTGGCATTGTGAAAGTAACTGCTACTTTTACAGATTTTTAATGCTTGCCTTGTAACCTTAGATCTTCTGTCAAGGAAAAAACATAGTAACCACTTAGTATATTGTAATAAATATTCATTAGTAAAATGATTTGACATGTAGTTTCACTCCTCATTGTTATGTTCTTGCGTGGCAGTGTAGCTTTTAATGTGAAATAAATAAAGCATTTCTGCACCATTGGGGTAAATCTTGAATGCTGAATAATAAAAGAGATTACAGCAACGAAATAAAAGAGCTGGGTGTTTTCTCAAAATATTTTCCAGGGCCTAATCCAGAATGGTACAGCTCTGGTGCATTGTATGTTAGATTGTAAGCAGTACTATTTAACTTTCACTGTTGATTAGTACCCTGATTTTAATTCATACATAATACTGTATTTGTAACATCTTGTACACAAAATATTAGTTATGAAAATGGCCATTTTAAATAGTAAATTCTGTGGGACATATATATTGGCAATAAATAAATAAATAAATCTGTATGACAATTTATTATAAAGTTTGGATAATTTTGTATATGGAGCTTTATTGAGAAGCAAACAAAAATGGATACTTATAGCTGCACTTGAAGAATTTTTTTTTTAAAGGAAGATGGAAGTGAGATCAATAAGGGAAAGATTTTGTGTTCATTGATATATGAATAGGCTTTCTTTCAGCAAGGCAAGAAATTAAAGTAGAATTCAAAGGCTTCATGAAATAGGATATTGGAAGGAATGAGAGCAGTTGGTATGAACATTAATACCTACATTATGAATGAATATTACAGTATGTGGAATAATATATACGTTAATATATATACCCAGAAGAAAGGGTATGTTTATTTAAGAGAGCAGGTGTCATTTGGATACTAAGGTGACAAAGCTGGAGAAGTAGATTTTATAGACCAGTATATATTGTGGGAGAAAAATTAAGTAGGTCTATATTTTTACAGTGTTGTACAGGATTAAGCAGCTTAATTTGGCAATGGGTTGAATACAAGGAACAAAGAAGGCAGAAGCAACAGGAATTTCAGATGTGCTTGCCATTATGCCAGCACAACTGCATCCTTTAGGCTAGTGAGTAATAGACAGAAAGCTCATCTCTTGGATCACAGTGATGTTTGAAAAGCATCAGGCACTGCTTGAAGTACTTCAAAGGCTCTGTGTACTATTGGGTAAAAAGCAGGGATAAGACTTTTGACAGTTAGATAATTTTCTGGTCACATAGTTAGTCCAAATTTGTTGACCTGCAGAGGGATGATTTAGAAAAAAGCTATGGCTTCTTGCCAGAATAGTTGATTGTTCTAAAATAAATACCATGTGTGTGTATATATTGAAGTGAATTTATAATTCTGCCGATTTGTTTGCATATCAGCTTAAATTTAAACTACTAAAGAATAACTATTTTTGGATATCTATTTAGTTCTCTTAATTCCTTTGCTAGTATGCTATTAAGTGATAAAGTGTAAGGTTAACAGGATTAAAGTTTGTTATTTATTTAGTGGCGTTTGCATATATCTTAAAAATGAGTATTAAACTGAGATGAAAAATTGCTCCAGTGCTTGTAAGTGTATTTGTGTAATTGCGCTAATACCGTTTCTAGAGCTGAGATTCAATAATAGTTGCAAATAAAGAATAAGGACAAGGAGGAATTTGTTTATACATCTGTCATCTACACTAAAAATGTGAAAAGGCAGGGGCAATTGATTATCAGATTTCATCTCTGTAATATATGTAAATAACCAGATCACTTGGGCAGTAGTAGAGAGCTGCCCATCTGCTTTTGACAAGGATTTGACTTCTATCACAGAAAATGGTACTTAGAATTAGAATGGAATGGCAGAACCAGGAAGCTGAGATTTAACTTCTAAATGTATGGAATTTGAGCTTTGAACAACTTATAAAGGTCAAGGGGGCATTTCTGTTCTGAAGGCACAGTGGCATTGTTTGCTGTAGCGTGTCTACATACAAAAAGAGAAGTCCACGCTTAATTCAACCAAATTATTTAATCTAGTCATTGCTTTGTAATTTGCTATTCACAATCTCTCATTATTAAGCATTTATAAAATTATGCATTTATCAATTTTCTCTTCCCCAATGCTTGGGTGGAAATGTAGTCTCTTGTTTGGGGCACATGGCATAGAATTGCTCTGTTATCCAGTTTTCTGATTAATAGTCCATTGTATGTACAAATTCATCTAAAAAGGAGCAGTGTCTTTCCGTTTCTCTGTGTGATTATTTTGTCCAAAAAAGCTTTCATTTTTTTTTAAGTAGCACAAAAGCTGTAATTGGCAGGCTTTGTAAGGAAATGTCAATGTGCAAGAGAGTGGAGATCACTAAGAATTCTTTTACGCGTTCTTTCCCCTTTGCACCACTGCCTCCTCAGCAGGGTCACTGAGATCACTAGCTTTTCTTGAAATGGCCATTTTCACTGGCAGGTGCATTATACCCTGTATTTTCAGATTGTTTTTCCATTCTGAATGTTTGGCAGGTTGATTGCTCTGGCTGCATTGACGGAGAAAGGGCTGACAAATGTGGTTGGGCTGGTTGAAAAGACAGTGATTACTGTTTTCCTTTGTGGCTGATTGAGGCCCTTGAAAGGAAAGATTTTAACCTTCACCATTTGGTTCAGAAGTATGAGCATATATTGAAATTGTTCATGCCATTTATCCTAGTTCTGTAAACTTGTCAGAACGTAAAAATCGCTCGATTTCATATAATGTGAGATTGGCATACGTCATTATCATTTTGATTAAGTTGGAGTTTGTATTATTGTATGCATTATATAGTGTCATTTAAGACATTTGTTCCTTCAGGTATAGATTTATATTTTTATTGACTAAACTAGAGTTAGAAAGATTTTTTTTTTCCAGATTTTGCTTCAGCCTATCACTATGTGTGTGGCTTGGCAGCTGGTAGAGCCTACAAGCTGTATTTTTGTTTGCAGGGTAAAGGCTTGTCTCTGGACCTCCTGGAGAGTTGGTAATTGCACAGACTTGCCATTGGAGAAAAAACATAATTGGAAGCAGTCAAGCAGAAAAATGCTGTGCCATCCCATTGCCACCTCAGAGCGGGGATAGACAATCCCAGCAATACCATCTGGTTGCTGCTGTCTAGTCAGCTGGCCTGGCTGCTGGGACTATAGCTTGGCAGCTGGTTTGCACCTCTTGACCACTCTTCCCTTCCCCTCCCCATGACTTTGAACATGGGTCAGGGGAATGGCTGTAACAAATAAACCCCTGTTGAATCTTGCCTCATTACTTGCAAGAAAGCAGGATGCAGGCTTCTGCTTCCATTCTCTTCTAGACAGATGACAAAACTGGTTAACAAATGAAATAAGTGTTTTAAGAAAGATACTCTGAGAAGCAGAACAAAAAGAGGCAGGAAATATCTTCCACAACACCACATTGCTCTTTTTTTTAATTTTGGGGAGCTTGTACTATTTACAAAATGTAACAACGCAAAAAATGCTACATATATCCTCAGTATTTCAAAGCGTCAACACTTATTATTTGTTGCAATTAAAGAAACAACATTCTACTTTTAAAATGCTCACTAACAATCGTCACCATGATAATGTGACTTGCAGTTAGAATGATAGGAAAGAAAAGATAATCTCTCTTGGTATTGTCTTAGCAAAATTTACCTTTCCAGTTAGCATCATCAAAACCAAAGTAACTTCTTTCCTTTATGAAAAACTTTTTGTTATTGAATCCATATCTGAAAAAAGCTATGGTTCTGACAGCTGTGTTAAAATGCTGATTATTATTATTCTATGGCAAGTGTATGTCAACATGCAAAGTAAAATCACATCGATGAATGTTTCATCTGCAGTGACAAAGGTGGATAGAAGTTAAGAATTTAAAGTGAAAATCTGAAAAGCTACTCTGTACTGTATGTTTAGTTCTGATGCTGTTAGAAAAATCACTAGATAAGTGTTTACTGACAGTGACAGTATATTTAACTGATTATTTTTTTCATCATTTAATGTAATCCCAGATTATAATTGGACAAGCAATTGTTGACAACTTTCCTCTTTACAGATGAGGAAGATGAAGATGATGTAGTTATACAAAAACCACCAGTTGAACCTGAGGAAGAAAGCATTTTGAAAGAGGAGGAAGAGGAGGAAGGTATAAATATTTTATTTCTTTACATTCATTCATATGCCATTTATTCTAACAACTCTGGGTTGACCAGTATATAAAACTAGAACTAACCATAAATACTAAAGCAATAAAAACAACAACTATTATAAATAAAAACTAATATTGCCAGCAGGAGGTTCTCCCTACTTTGGTATTCTCTTAAAGAATGCTATGTTCCTCATTTTTAATAATATAAAGGAGGAAGTTTATCTGACTCAAATTTCTGTTTTTGTTTTGTTGTGTATGTTTCTCTTTATGTTTAAATTTTTTATTTATTCAAGTTAAAAGACTAAAAAGCATTGAATAAAATCATTAAAATATATACATTTTGGTTATAAGTCATATTCCAAATCTGTCTCTCTCCACAGTTGCCCCTCATGAACTAACAGAAGAAGAAAAGCAACAGATTTTGCATTCTGAAGAGTTTTTGAGCTTCTTTGATCACTCTACAAGAATTGTAGAAAGAGCTCTTTCTGAGCAAATTAATATTTTCTTTGACTACAGTGGCCGGGACTTAGAAGACAAAGAAGGGTAATATGGGAATTTCTAAAATGTGTTATTCCATTGTTTTAATTTTACTGGAAATGATCCTAAGTGAGCACCTCTTCTATTGTTTTATTTTTTTTCAGAGAAATTCAGGCAGGAGCAAAACTGTCCTTAAATAGACAGTTTTTTGATGAACGTTGGTCAAAGCATCGTGTTGTTAGTTGCTTGGATTGGTCATCTCAGGTAACTTTACATACTTTAATAAATCTTCCTTAGTAGATACTATGTCAAAATAGATTTCCAAGAAATAAAGTTGAGTTTAGTACCTTAATTTGGATTTATTTGAATGTGTCTTATTTAAAGCTAGTAACAGAGAATCTTTTATTTTTTTATCCAGTACCCAGAGTTGTTAGTAGCATCTTATAACAACAATGAAGATGCTCCTCATGAGCCTGATGGAGTGGCCCTTGTCTGGAATATGAAATATAAGAAAACAACTCCAGAATACGTCTTTCACTGCCAGGTAATGCAAGTTCTCATCTTGCAGGGTTAAGGATTTTGTATTAGTGAAAGTAGACAAGATTTGCCTTTTAATTATCAGCATAATGATTTAATTGAGGAGACATGAACTACAAATGTTACCCATTCTAAACACATGTTGATGTCTGAAGGATCCAGATATCTTCTTTTTAGTATAATGTGCTTTATTTAAACTTACACAACCACATTCTATGTGAAAGATGACATAACATTCTGTACATTAAGTATGGACTCAGCATTTATCATTAAAAATATATAACCACATCTCAACCCAATTTGTATATTGAAAACAAATATACATAGCCTAATCATTTAAGGGAAATAAGAGTCTTATTTCAACTTAAAATAATCTAATGTAGAAATGTACAAGTTGGCCTCAATATAGGTTATTGTAAAATATTTATTTTAAGTCTCTTTATATGGCTGCCCATCTCCCAAATGCAAGTCTGGACAGCTAATGAAACAACTATTGAAATAATAAATGGACGACATAGTCAAGATAATATGACAGCTGAAAAAACCAGAACAAACTCACCTGGGCTCAACTATCTTCCTGACCCCCCCATGCTTAAGAAAATAGCCTTAAGCATAACAATGACATTTCATTCCCCTGTGTTATACTGTATATTTAATGAGCAGTCATATTCAGAAATAACATTTACATTCTTCTTTCACTTTTCAGTCAGCTGTCATGTCTGCTACATTTGCAAAATTTCATCCAAATTTGGTGGTTGGTGGCACATACTCTGGACAAATTGTGCTCTGGGATAACCGTAGCAATAAGCGAACACCAGTTCAGAGAACTCCTCTTTCAGCTGCTGCTCATACGGTAGGGAATGGAAGATCCACATATCTTCATCATCCAGTCTCCTTTTAGGATAAACAATGTTGTGTAAAGTGCACAGAAAGAGTGAAGTAGTGACAAAAGAAACTAAGGCAAGACGTAAGAAAAAATTATTGACCTACTCAATAATCTAGGATAGTATTAGCTTTGAGCATGATGGGATAAAATTCAGAATGTGACGAAAAAAGTATAACATTCAAGAAATGAGTGTCTTATAAATATACTATAATCTTATTTGAATTAAACTTTTTGCTGAAAGGATAAATTCACCATTTTACATTACTTGGTTCTATGGTATTTCCTGTCATCTATATTTGTCTCTCTCCGGGTTCCAAGGTCTCTGAATTTTTCATTATGAACAGGAGATCATATTTTACTTGTTCCTTAGCTCTCACTTTCCCTTGAGAAGCACATTTTCCCTGCTGGGAAAACATGTAGCCCTGAAATGAAAGTATTAGCTATTCATATTTTCAAAATCTATACTGTCTAGTCATTCCTTTGCTCTGTCCTTAGGAATGTTGATAAGTATGCCATGCTTTTACAACACTACAACTGTTCATTCTATTTCCTTTTATTTTTCATTTGTTCCATTTTTATTAATGTTCAGTCTTTTGTCATAACTTTGTCTCCTAATGTTGGCATCAAATGTTCTTCATCAGAGAAGAGAGATTGAAGTGGAAAGGATTACAAGAGAGTAACCTGTTTGCCCTTCTAAATATCAAAAGCAATGCAATTTTGCTGGCACTGGGAAAGAACCAGGCAAAGATATCTTGATTGCCTAAAGAAATCAATTGTTTCCCCCACCCCACCTCATAGAGCAGAGAGATTGGAGAGGAAGAGATTTCAAGAGAGTACTGTAAGCTGTTTGTGCAGTGCCCCCATGGCTCCCAGCCCTGGGCTGTCATGCAGTCACATTGCTTTCAATGTGTACAAGACAGTAAACAGGCATTCAAGCATTCTAAGGGGCAAAGGAGTGGCTAAGAGGCAAACCAAAGCCAAAGATCTGAATAGTCTTGTCTTTTTCCAGCTTGAAAGAAAGAATTTTGTGTCAGAGTTGCTGGTCCCAGTTAGGGTCAGTAAGTGAGGACTACCTGTACTTCAAGAACAAACCTTTAATTCTTCCTGTTACCAGCACTGGTTTTTGTACTTTCAGTGAAGGGTCTAATCTTGCAGGATTGCTAAGCAACCAAATCTAGATCTTAGTTTCTGAGGAAGGTCTGATGATTAGCTGTAGAAAATAATATCAAGTCCCTGGGCATCTTTCTTGTCCTTCTTGCCTGATCGTTTAAAATTTAGATTTGCATTTATCTGAAGATATCTTAAATTTCCATGGAAGCTTTGTTAAACTGTGCTGTATCATTTCACTTCAGCATCCTGTATATTGTGTAAATGTTGTGGGGACACAGAATGCCCATAACCTTATCAGCATTTCTACTGATGGGAAGATTTGCTCATGGAGCCTGGATATGCTGTCACAGCCACAGGTATTTTCTTATTAAATATGTCAAACATTTATTGTTATATGTTTCAGGAAAGTTCTGCAGATAAAACATATGCTCATGTCTGATATTCCAGTCCCATATATCTAAAGATTCTTTGTTGAATTCTGAAAGCTGGCATCCAGTTTAAGTAGTATAGAATTTGTACTGAGGATATTTCAGTTCACATACTTATTTAAATATAGAAGCTTCTGAAATGATTTTAAGTGATAAACTTTCAGTTTAAATTGTGTCACAGAGTATCTGAGAAATAGTGAGAAATATGCGGTACGTTTGTCTTACTGTAAACATTATACAATTACTGTATACATTATACAAATATACAATTCATAGGTTGAGAAACAAATCCTACATTGTCATCGTGTACACTGTGTCATTTTGTTGTGTTAAATACTTTCAACTGAATGATACGAATAAAGCAAGTATATAGAATGAAAATGTTTTGTAGAAAGCTGGTATCAGAAATACTCCCTGATCTTAGCAGAAGAGTTGTTTGGAAAAACAGAAATGTGATATCCTTCTCTCCAGGATAGCATGGAGTTAGTTCATAAGCAATCCAAAGCTGTTGCTGTCACTTCTATGTCCTTCCCTGTTGGAGATGTCAACAACTTTGTCGTTGGAAGTGAAGAGGGCTCTGTCTACACAGCATGTCGCCATGGCAGGTGATTAGACCCTGGGATTTCATTTTTTCACCCACAAGGTGTTGCAACTTGGGTCATACTTTAAGAAACATAATTTTGGGGTTGCTGCTCTTTAATTGTCATAGGATGATTATATACAATTGCATTTCTCTAAAAGGAATTGTGTAAGGATTTTAAAAGAGTATTTAATAATTAAAATTTTCAATTAACTTCATCTCATTTTTTTCTAGATAAGAATAGCTTTTGAGCTTTGATGCGGAATATGCTGATTAGTCAAATTTGGAAGGGAGTTGTGGCAGAATATCCCAAATTCTTGCTTTTGTTGATAATTATACAGTACTATCACGCACCAGTCGTAAATTGAGCAGCTTGTCTCCTGCTGTTCAATCTGTTTCGAAATTGTATAGCTGTAGCTTATCTATTGCTTTCTTAAATGAAATTGAGACTCTGGTCTCTTCTCAAACACACATCAGCCCATGCTGTACAGTGCTTTGGGTTAGAACTAACCAAAATTGGTAGTTTGCACTGATACAGTTGTGGGTTTATCATCCCTGATTTCAGACTGAAAATTGCCTAAGGAGGAAATGCATCTCTTGGGAAGCTTGATGTTTCTTGGAAGACAATGATGTGTTAATTTTTGTGACCCTAATATTTACCCTGTTTCTCCAACAATACGGCCTCCCCCAATGGGAAGTCCCAGCATGTTTTATAGGCATGAAATGAAATTAAGCCCTTCCCCCAAAATTAAGGCCTATATTAAAACATGCAAAATGGGGGGGAATGGTGGGGGGGGCTTGCCATTAGGAAGTACTTTTGTTGCACACCCGGATATGGTGCTGCCTGCGTTGACCCCGATACGAAGTGCCCCACCAACGCTGAGGACAACATCCAAGCCGTCGCCACCCGCCCGAAGATGCAAGGCGGGGGGAATTAAGTCACCCCCGAAAAGACGTCTGAGCCATTTTTCCAGGGCTCAAAAAAAAAAAAAAGACCCAGCCTTATTATATGAGAAACACGGTAGTTAGAGTTTGAAAAAATAATACAGCTATCTAAGATACATAGTATTTTTTAAACATATTTCAAAGCATATGTTTAGTTATCATTTAATTAATACAGTTTTTTTATTTATAGTACTACTGAGCTTAACTCAGTTCCATGGAATATGCAATACTGCAGAGATAATTTGTGATGCACTTTGTGAACTGTTAATTAGTACTTTGTATGAGTTTTGAATGAGTATTTTTTTATTTTTAGAGTAAAATATTTTTTTTCTTTGTATTTTAAACAGCAAAGCTGGAATCAGTGAGATGTTTGAAGGCCACCAAGGGCCCATTACAGGTATCCATTGCCATGCAGCAGTTGGACCTGTTGACTTTTCACATCTCTTTGTAACTTCTTCTTTTGACTGGACTGTAAAGCTTTGGACAACTAAGGTATCAGTAGATAAATATACACAATATTGACTTGTATAAAAACCCATCTTATGGAAATTGTCTGTTTAGAACTAAATTTTCTGCCAAGAAGGTTCATTGAAGCATCCATGTTTTAAATCATCAGTTCCATAATGCAATATAGGATTGTAATATAAAAGATGTACAGATCAGACCTGTCCATTATTCAGCCTTCTTATATTGGCTGAGGTAATTCTCATAAATATAGATACCTATAACCATTGTAGCAGCTTATAGATGCTATTAATATATTACGTTTACTTTATAGTGTATAACAGTGTTATACTACACATACGCACACAAAATGAAATAGTGGTATCTTGTTTGTTTCATGATAATAAAATTCTACATGATGAAAGTTCTAATAATAGAATAATAGAATTGGAAGGGACCTTGGAGGTCTTCTACACCAGTGGTCGCCAACTGGTGGGCTGGGGACCACTGGTGGTCCGCAGAGAAATGTCACCCCCAAAGCACCCCCAAAGCAATTAATCCAGGCTGCGTGGGAACACAAGGCTGCGCCGCCCATATGGCCCACAGGAACACAAGGCTTGGGTCACTTGCATTGCGAGGGTCACGAGGTAGTGAGGAGAGGGGGGAAAGGGCAGAGTGGGGGAACTTGCCCCACGCGCCTGGCCTGGCCACCGGGCTGCTTCTTTCTGCTTCTTCTGCTTTTGGCTGCCCGCAAGGAAAGCAGCAAAAGTCTTTCTTTCTCTCCCCCAAACTCTGCCAGAAATGAGTCTTTGGGACCCTGTAAGGCGTCCTGCTCCAAGAGGCTGCACCGGCATGACAAGTCTCACAAAGACTCATTTCTGGCGGAGTTTGGGGGAGAGGAAGAAAGACTTCTGCTGTTTTCCCTGCATGAAGCCAAAAGTCCCTCTCTCTCCCCCTGAGAACAGAGCTGGAGATGGTATCCTGCGATCCCAAATAAAGAATCATCAATCAGTAGGAAAACGGGGTGGGGAATTTTCCTGCAGACTTTTTTTGAGATTTTCCCAGGATCTCTGCTGCTTCTGCTTTTTCTGCAGAGCTCCAGGATGACCAAAGGGCATTGTGACTACTGCAGCTCTGGAATATGAGATCAACTTTCCCACCAAAATCAGCAAGCCACTATAAGTCAAAATTCATATTAGTGATGCACGGGATTTAAAATTATGAGTTTGGTGGTCCCTGAGGTCCAAAAGTTTGGCGACCCCTGTTCTACACCACACACACACACACACACACACACACACAGACACACTGCTCAAGCTGGAAACCCTATACCATTTCAGACAAATAGTTATCCAATCTCTTATGTGTTACTCTGAGGAAATTAAAATTTGCAGCTTCATTAGTGTCTACTATTATTTTTAAAATTACATTACTATACTTGTATAATATAATTTAGTATAAATCCCAATAATGACTCAGTATTTTTTCAAATTGAGAAACTTCAAGCTTTTACTTTGTCACTAAAAGAATTACTTGATGACACATAATGACTCAACAATCAAAAGACAAAACATAGCTAAACTTTGCTTTGATGTCCTCAGGAATAAGTACAAGCATTCAGTGGTATTTACCCAGAGGTTCATTTTGTTCCCAGATTCACCAACAAATTGTGTTACAAATAGTTCTCAGCACTGTAATATTTTTTTTCTAATCGCGTACTAAAAGATGTGTTATTAACTCCACTATCTCCAAAATACACAAAAAGGATTCCATATCCTCTCTGTTGACCATCAGCCATCCTTTGGTCCTTAAACCAGAAAACATAACTTAATAATAGCGATTCCGCACTGTCACAAACCTTGCCATCATGCCTTAATTATTTTTGTTTCAGCCATTGTAAGTTATATTAATGCTAAATGTTTTTCTTGTCCTAGAACAACAAGCCTCTATATTCATTTGAAGACAACTCAGATTATGTTTATGATGTGATGTGGTCACCCACTCACCCTGCCCTCTTTGCTTGCGTAGATGGAATGGGAAGACTTGATCTGTGGAATCTCAATAATGATACTGAGGTAAAGCAAAATCGGTTTGGTATCCTAAGACTGCATGGTAATGGAGTCTATATCTGGCATATATTCAGAAAAATATCAGAAAAATATAATATTTTAACAAAGCCATACGTTTATTAAATCTTCCTTGGCTCTTCACCTAATGATCTCTCAAAGAGGTCTGCATGCTAAACCTTTAATGTTGTACTGGCTAATTTTTCATGGAATCAGTTGATTTGGATTATCTTGATCCTTTTCAGTTAGGATACAGATTGGGCATGGGTCAGTAACAGCACTAGTCCTGCTTTTGGAAGACCTCTTGCGTGGACAGGATGGGGTAGTGCATCCACCCATGCCATTCTTGACCTCTCAGAGACTCTTGATACCCTCAACCACATTATCTTTCAGAATCGGCTCAGACGGCTTGGGTGGCATGGTGTTGTGCTGATTTGCCTCCTTCCTTTGGGTCAATCCAATTCGGTGATAATTAGGAAGAAAAGGTCCCATTGTCAGCCCCAACTATGTGGAGTGGTCACACGGTGGTCCTTTGTCCTTTCCTTTTTAACATCTACGTGAGGCCACTGGGTGAGCTCATCCATTATCACGTGTACCAATTGTATATCTCTTTCCTGGCAAACTAAGTGGCGCCACGATCCTGTTATCCTATTGCCTTGAGACTGCAAGAGTCTGGATGGGGAACAAGAGGCTTCCACTGAACTTCAGCAAGACTGAATGGCTTTGGTTTTGGGGGGCCCTCTGATTCCAGGACTATGCCATCTTTGGTGCTAGATGGGGTTGCACTGTCTCAGACAGACTCAGTGTGCAACCTGGGGTTCCCTCCTGCTTGGTAAATAGATTGCAGTCATGGCTAGAAAGGCCTTTGCACAGCTTTGTCTTGTGCCCGTCCCTGGATCAGCAGGCCCTGCTTACAATCACTCTTGCCCTAGTCCCTTCCAGATTGGAGTATCGCAATGGGCTTTACATGGAGCTGCCCTTGGAGAATATCTGGAAGCTTCAACTAGTTTAGCATGCAGTAGTGTGGGCAATGATCTGCACTCCCACGGCCCATGTTAGACATCCACTCTGTAAGCTGCACTGATTTACTTCCAGTTCCAATTCAAAGTGCTGATTTTAACCTATAAAGCCCTTATGGCATGGGCCTGGGCAATCTAAGGCAGGGGCTCCCAATCTTTTGAGTGCCAGGAACCAGTTCTGTGGAGAGAGGTTTTTCCACAGACCAGGGGAGGCGTGGTTTCTAGCACTGCCTGCATTCTGTGCATACACAGGTGAGGCTTTGCTCGTTTGTGTAGCCTGGTTTCTGGTGCGCTGTGGGCCACGGGTTGGGGAGCCTGGTCTAAGGGACCGCCTTTCCCCTTTCACATCAGCCCTTCCCATCAGATTTTGCAGAAGAGGCATGTTGTGGGTACCTTCAGCCAGGGATTGACATTTGGTGGGTTCCAGTAGATGTGTCTTATGTCTATTGTAGTGCCCACCTTATAGAAAATTCCCTCCGCCCCCAATTAGAATGGCCTTTGATCCCTTTTGATATTCTGTTCAAGACTTAGTTCGGTGACCTAACTAAGGTCTGGGCTTTCTACAGAAATATGGCTAGAGGGGCTTCATTGTGAAGGGGGCATTTCTTATTTTCCCATCACTTTGATTGTATTTTATTTTTTAGGGTATTTTTATATATATTTGTATTCTGATTTTGATATTTTTTAAATCTGTTGTTGCACCTAGAGTCTCCCTTGGTGAGTTGAACAGCTATATCAATTTGATGAATAAAATTAATAATAAGTTTTAAATTACCAGAAAATGAATGTGTGGCTTATGTGGCTTATGCTGATAGGAATATGCCATGATATTGTTTCGCCTAACTCTAGCACAGGGTAAAACCAGGGCTTTTTTGTGATCTGGCATGAATACAGGTTCTTTGTCCATCAGGTACAGTGTGCATCATATCACCCTAACAGATAGTTGGAACACTTAAGCTTCATGAAGCTGGTATTCCTTGTATAGCTGAAGAATGCAGTGCTATCAGTTGCTGAGCACTGAGCAAAACCTAAGCATGATGGTCTCACTGAATGCTTTAAAGCATAAAACTCTGAGTGTATTTAGCACTACTTTTGTGCCAGCAATCAGTTTCGCTCCCTATGATGTGCTTGAGTGGAAGAGGATTACCTATAATAAAGTAATTTTTCCAGTGTAATTCAAACTCAGCATATCCAGGCAAGGTTTTATCCAAGCAAGGAAGAACTCAGTAACTTGGAGCTGTCATCTTTGAAAGCTTGGTGCTCTAATTCCTATCATTACTAAATCCATCTTCCATTGGGCCTTGTGTGGGTATATCAGAGATTTTTATATTGTTAAAGGTAAAATATTTCCTTCTCTGTTGTGTTAGGATAAGGGACAGCTAGATAACTGTAATGGTCATATTATCATCTGAATATTTGTGGCAAATCTAGCAAAATTCCAAAGAAGGTATAAATCATGATGAAGCATTGTTGTTTGAACCGGGGTAGGTGCCAACAGCAAGTATTACCGTGGATGGAAATCCAGCCCTTAATCATGTAAGATGGACAAATTCTGGACGTGAGATTGCTGTGGGAGATTCGGAAGGACAGATAGTAATTTATGATGTGGGAGAGGTAGGTAACTTTGTAACTTACTTTGTTTTGCTTAATAAAGAGTGCATAGGAGTCATGTTTTTGTTTCAGTTTAGAAAGTATGTTTAAAGTTTGGGCAGATTTAAGTGCAAGTGTGTGTATGTATGCAAAGATGAAAATTTAAAGAAATTATCACAAATATAGTTTTGAGCAGCAACCTAAATGTCAGGGCTCCAACAAATCCCCCCCCGCCTTTAAATCATAAGTCTCTAGACGCATCTCTCAAGAGTAAAAAAAAAAATGTTTTATTAGGAATGGCCATGTTGGCATTAGCTAGGTGAGAGATGCGGCTAGAGACTTACGATTTAAATGGGGGTGGATTTGTTGGAGCCCTGACAGCCAGCCAACACTAAAATACATCATTCTTTTCCCCCATCCCCTGGATGAATATTCTCCAGTGGGACACATCCATAGCCAATCATGCTCTCCAGTAATATTCTTGTGTGCTGACAGCTTTGGGCTGCCAAATTGGTTATCTATGGCATTTCGGGAATGCAATGCTTTCCCCCACTCCTCTTCTGCAGGCAATTAAAACGACCAAAGGAGTTTTTTTTTTTTTAGTTGACACTAAAACTACTTCAACCCTTCCCCTATTTCTTGGAAACTACTGCCCAACCCAGTTTCCCATAATACTACTGCTCATCGACCATTCCTTTTTTATTCAGGGGCATCCAATGGCAACAATTGGCAGGACTTTCAAATTATAAACTTTTTCAGAAAAGATTGCAGCAAGTTATCTAGAATCTTTCATATTGTAAAATAATGTAAAAAGTTGTCTGTATCTACCAATTTTAAAACTGGAAAATATGAAAGGAGAGTTACTACACAACAAAAATTCAGTTTGCAACCAAGCTTCGGTCAGAAGGCCAAAGTGGGTTGCCGTTTGACTGCTTTTGTGTCACTTCAGAATCCTTTATATTTGAGTTTGGGGAAATTCTCCACTGCTGTCAAAGTTGTTCAAATAAATATTTGTGGCTTCAGTTTGCTTTACTGGTTTGAACAAGTAAATAGTTTTTAATATTTTTTTTCCTACATCTGGTCTCACCAGACAGTAAAACAGCAGGTTGGAAGTACGATTCTTCTAGAAAACAGAAGAAGGTGAAATATATTATTCCCACCCTATGAATTGTTTGTGTCCAGTTAGACACTGGCTAGATGCTACTGCCTAGATCTCTGCTCACTGTCATTTCCTCATTGTAATGGAGATGGAGCCTATTCTTTGTGTTGAAAGAAATTTTTCATGTGCATAAAAATTCAGGGAACATAGAAATGTATACTTGAATTGAAAACAACAACAACAGTATATTCATATGTTTAGTAATACCTCCCCTGTAACTATTTCTCCACAGCAAATTGCTGTTCCCCGAAGTGATGAGTGGACCCGTTTTGGTCGGACATTAGCTGAAATTAATGCAAACAGAGCTGATGCAGAAGAGGAAGCAGCAACTCGAATTCCTTCTTAAAATTTCACAATGGATTCTAGTCGTGAATTTGGGCAAGAGCTAAGAGCTTCAGTGTAATAGCATGTTCTAGCCTGCAGAAGCAACTGGAAAGTGAAAACGTGCAGTCAACTATGGATTTGACAAGTGCATAAAGATTACTGAAGCAGATCTTGTGAAGTTGCTTTTTAAAAGCTAAATCACATATTCTTAATCTAATCTGCATATATTAATATTTATCCTAACTTGGCAAGTTGTATCTTCAGTTGAAACACTACTTACATTGTATATTTAAAGTTACTTAGGCTGTCCAACTTTCAATAGGATTTAAGTAAGTTATGTAAACCTATCTTGGGGGAGGGGGGGGATTATGGAACTGCTTAAAGTTAGTTACACATGTATCTGTTCACAGCAACCTTTATCCCAATTGTTATACAGTAGGCTCCCATGGTGGTAGATCATGTAAAGGAATAACAAAAATCTATTAAACTGTTTTTAATTAATGGAAAATTTCTAAAATCCCTTGGATTTTTTGTTAAATCTGTGTAGTTTGTAAGGCTTATAAATAAAATACATGATGTTTTTCTCATATGTAACCATTTAAAGACTTGATTTTTTTAAAAATAGGATTGTGTTACATGCTAATAATTCACGCAAGGAGATTTATAGGGGAAAAGGAATCTAAAATGTATTTTCTATTTATGCCTATAAAAAAAGGAAGGGTACAAAATGATTCTTAGGTTTAAGACTTCATCTTAAATTGTTGAATTGGATATAGCTTGCACAATTCTACCCAAACAGAAAAAATGAAATCTTTTTGAAATCCTGTGACCATAGGATAATCTGTTGATTTGACTGGGCAGTCTAAAATTTAAGAGGCAACACTTCATTTTTATATGGTAAATTCACAACAATCTCATGTAATCAGGAATAGAATAAATTATCTAATTTCCATCCAGTTTAGATTACTTGTGGGAATATTAAAAATAAAGCTTAAAATAAAATATTTTAGTACACTTGTAACATTTTGTAAACTAACCAGCAAATTCGCCATAACGTAAGCTATCTTAACCTTTTGCATTGCTATATTGTTGATTTTGCCATTGATGGTAGTTTCATTTTTTTGTAAATGCCAGTTACTGTCCTGTGTAATAAGACTTTTTTGCATGTGTAATTTAATTGCTTCTGAAATAACTGCTTACAGGATTTTACATATAGTTGTTTAGAATGGGTGGGCAGCCTGTGGCTTGGATGTCACACATAAACCTTTTAATTGAGTAAAATGGCATATTTGGGGGATATGTTTGGGGGTGGGGCAGGGTGGGTAAAATAAATCCATGAATACTGGAGAAAAACTATCTACTCAAAGATAAGCCCATTGGTAGATTTGCTAACTCTGAAATTTTTAACCCAAGTGTCATGAAAAAATGTGTCTCTTATGGATAATCTTACCCTCAAATTTTTTGTATGATTTAATTTTCACAATTAGCTTATCAGCAATTAGTGCATTTTTCATGGTTTGGGGTTAAACATTAGAGGATCTGCTCATCCACATTGGAGTATCTGCAAGTATATAAGACAGGGGTCCCCAACCACCGGGCCGTGGACCGGTACCGGTCCGTGGAATATTTCCCACTGGGCCGCCGGTTTGCTGGGCGCCACCATCTTGTTTGATGAGAAAGTGCTTCCGGGTGAGCTTTTCTGGTTCGAAACCAGCGTTTGGGTCCTGAAGGAATCCTCGTGCCTTAGTTTCATCGAAGGGGTGGGGCTTCGAATGAAACTAAGGCGCGAGGATTCTTTCAGCACCCAAGGCAAGGCGAGCCGAGAGACCGTCCCGAAGCGAAGCCCATCGACAAAGATACAAAGGAGGAGTTGAAGGTGGCGGGGAGAAGCGGGGGACAGTTGGCTGGCCGGTCGCTCGCCTTGCCTTGTCATGCGTGCTGATGCCGGTACCGGGCTGCGGATCATTTTGTGATGCCGGTACCGGGCCGTGGAACAAAAAAGGCTGGGGGCCACTGATATAAGAGCTATATGGTATTTTAAAGAACCTGTGGGAACAACCACAGGTACCTACTCATAGATAAGCCCATCTGCAAATAAGCCCAAATTAATTTTGGGGTGGATTTTGGCCCCTAAAAGTCTTGCCTTATCTGCCACTATATACAGAAGGCTGAATATTTCAATCCTGTTTTCTCCCATCATGATATCATGAGGCGCTCTGCAGCCATCAGTGTTATTTAAAAAAGAGTAGCCAATAGAGGAATAAAATTGCTTACTTCAGGGTAGGACACAATATGGTCTTGTTCAGCTGGAGCCTTTAAAAAGATCCTCATTCAGTAGATACAAAATATTGTCTATAACAGACGGATATTTTTAAAACAAGATTTTGTAAAAAGTCTTCCATTCGTATGGATTTCTTGGAATAGTGATAGATCCAGCTTCATTGCACATATTAATAACCAGATTTTCCAGTCTTTAGGAAGGGTTTTTTTTTTTTTTTTTTGGGCAGGCTTTTTTCCCCGTTCCTCAATGAGGCTTCCTAAGTGTAACAATTCAGAAGTGATGGGAGGGAGTTGCCTTAACAGTTTTTGTAAGATGTAGACTTGAGGATGGTGGTGATTGGAAGTTTCCTTGGAGTGTCTATTAATTGGTTGCTTGGAATGGTGGTGCCTCTATTTTGATGGGTTTACCGCATCTGCCTGAGGTCTGGATCAGGTATCTGAGCAGTAGATTTTAACCAGCTCTATTGAATTGTTGATGGTTTATTACCTCAGTATTGATCTCCCAAATACAGAGAACCTGATTCTAAATAAGTCTTGCATTTTGTATCTCGCACTTTTGTACTGTAATTTTTGAAAGCTGTATCTGCATACAGGAGCTTATGGGTGTACAGCAGAGTTCCTTTTGTAGAGAAGCCCCCAATTAAGGAGGAAATAGTCACAAGGGTACATTGCCTGAAATTCTGTTGCCCTTGCATATTGCCATGGCTTCATCTTTAAGTACCTCTCCTTGCATTCACCTAATTACCAGCAAAACAATTAAACCCCATTTCCAGGTCTTAAAAACATGCTGCATTTCCCACCACCACCACCCCCAATCTATAATGGGGAGATCAGAGAGATTACTAATTCTTCAGCTTCTTTGGGCTTTTTAAAAATTATAGACATACTCCTAAAAAAAACAACTAAACATCAGAGTATTAGAATATTATTGAGGAGCAACATTGCTAGGTTAATTTTACCTTCTTTAAAACTTAGTCTCTTTAAGATTTGGTGTCAAAGAAAAAACACTATAGGGCCCTGGTTTTAAATACATTTTATTGTCACATGATTCTTAGTAAAACACTTTCAAAACAGTCTGTACATTTCAAACTATTTAAGAACTGCAATATCTGTTTCTAGAAATGCAACTGCAATTTCAATGCCATAATGATGTCTCTGTACAAAGATGTACAATATGTACAGTAACATGGAGTGCAAGCTGTGCAAAGCCAAGCCCTGGGTACTAACTCAAGCCATCAAAAGAGGAGAAGCGATCAATGGCTTGATCGTAAAGCCCGAATCAATCTCCTGTGTGCGAACGACAATTGTATCTTTGTATAGAAAGAAGCCAGTGATTCAGTCTCCGTTCAGTTAAGTGTCATGCAGCTGGCTGGAGAGCCAAGGACTGTTCTCGGATCTGTCCTTTGCGGCCACTTTTGCTTGCTGGAAAAGTCAGCTCAGGATTCAAGCTGCTGCTTTGGTTTTCACAGGAGTGGCACTCGATGCTCGAAATTTTGGAAGAGAAAGCCCAAATTTGTTTTCAATTCCAGCAAAAGTAGCTGTGGCAAGCCGGTACCCACCAAGGTGATCAGGATTAACAGGAGGAAGGCCTGAGATTCGAGACTTGGGATGAGGTTCTGAGCCGGAGGGCTTGCTAGTAAGAGACAAACAAGCAAACATTGGCCACATTGAGATGCTGTTAGCATAACTGTATTACAGCATGTTCTGTTTTAATCCTGGTTCACTGGCCACAACAGGGGCTTGGCTCACAAATATATAACTAAAGAACTATGACTTACAGCACCAAAGCCAATAATTTGAATTCATTTTTTGTCACTGCTAAGTTTTATGCTTATGGCTTGTTTACAAAGTGTATATTTGATCGCATGCTTATCACCATCCTCTTACATAGCTACTATCCGGGCTTAGGTGTAAGTAAATCCAGGCCAGGTGATTCTCCCCTTAGGAAATTCATAACCATGCAAATCTATGTAAGATCAGGCCAAATGTTAAAAATACATGTTCCTTCTTTCCAAGAAGCTCTGTTTTGAACAGATGGTTTACATTAAAGCTGCTGTCTGAAAGAATTTTGGTATACATAAATCTAGATTATAAAGCAAATACTTTGGTTTCTATCTAACATATTTCTGATCACTATTTTCTGGGTTTAATCCTGTTTCTCCTTAATTCTGGCCTGTAGTTTTAGCTTGTCTCTCTGTGTGGATGTGTACATTCATGTACATGCCAACTAGGACTGTGCAGTGACTGCAGTGTTTGATTAATATCCAATTTGGTAATTGGAAAAAAAAATCATCCACCCTGGGACACTTCCACACAAGATGCTTTCATTTCTTCCAGATCAGTTCTACTCACTTGTTATCCCAGACAGTCACCTCTTCTAAACCAAACTGCCTGAAATTTGAAGAAGAGCTCTTTCTTGAGTGGAAGGAACCTTAACCCTCCTAACTTACAACACTTTAGTGCAGGAGTGTCAAACTCAATTTCACTGAGGGCTGCATGAGGGTTGTGTTTGACCTGGGGGGGGGAGCATGGCCAGCTCAATGTCATTCGTGTCGGGGGCATCTGTGGCAGCCAGAGCGCTCTGCCTGCACAAACAGGCTCCCAAGCTCTGTTTTCAGCTACCATGGCCTGCAACCATCTGCCACCATGGGCCGGTCCTTCACTGTTTCCAGGGCAAGCCAATGGGCCAGATGTAAGCACCCTGCAGGCTGGATTTGGCCCGTGGGCCTTGAGTTTGACATTTCTGCCTTAGTGGATCCCATAGGGAATGCTGGTCTCCCTTTTAGTGACCCAGGCAAGGCAGCAGGAATAAAATAAGCAAGCTCCAATCAATTTCATTTTCTTTTTTGCAAGGGAAAACCTGCATACAAAATATCAGGCTGCCTGAAATTTTTATTTTATGTCCTTTTTCCATGAAATAGGAATGCAAATATTTTTATTTTATGGAGTCCTTGGTGCTCTCTGAGCTTGGTTGTTTGCTTGCAGGTGTTTCATTACCCAACTGGGTAACATCATCAGTGCTAATCACAAACAACCAATAGGCAACTAGGCAACATCAGTGTGAGCAGGGGTGGGATTCTACCAGTTTGCACCTATTCAGTAGAACCGGTTGTTAACATTCTAAGCAGTTCGGAGAACCCATTATTAGAAGAAATGACTGGCCTAATCCTGCAAGGAAGGCAGGAAGGAAACATTCTGGTGTTGCTTACAGAAACTGCCTCTCCATTAATCCTTATTACATTCCTGGCAGGGCTAGACTTCCTGTCTCAGGAACGT